CACACACACACACACACACACACACACACACACGTATAGTATAATTTATAGTTTAAAATTTTTTTGCTTGCAATCGAATATTTGCAAGATATAGTCAATAGAATTATTGACGTATATGATGTACGTGTGAAAAATGTGGATTGTAAGTAAAACGAAATGTATCATCCTCATGTGCTCCAAATGTCTCGATCCATCACCAATATCCAACGTTGATACATTCTTTTTTATACATAAAACTATAATATATGATAATTGCTACGAATGACGAGTAAATTCATAGCTTCTTATAAGTTTTATAATTTTACAAAAATTCACATTCAACGCAACAGTTTTCGTGGGTCAGGTTATACTCAGGTTATAATCAATGTCCTCAGCATGTCTCTGTTTTAAAACGTTTACATTCTTCTATCACATGGTCATCCGTTGTGCAGGGAGTTTCTTCCGTACATATGTTCGTCGCGAGTGGCCTTTTCTTTGTGACCGAAGAGACTTCTGTTACACTATCCTCCTCTTTTATGGCCTTGGTTGACTTGAACCGAATAATTATTGCTGTCATATTGTCACAACCTGTTCCATCGCCGCGAGTGTTTGGCGCTAAGCAGTGATTGAAAAGCTGAAAAGTGGTGGCAGAATTAAATGTCGTGTATGTTTGGCGATTTTAGTGAAACGGCAATTATAAAATAAATATCAAGTTTCATAAATTTAGCTCATTCAAGCATTTGAATTGACTTTTTTTCATTTTCTTTTCGCAAGTCAAAAACAATGTTACATACCTCTTCGCATATTTTTGAGATACTTTCGGGCTCCTGATGTAAACGCGTACGTATATAATTGACGACATTTTGACTGGACATACAATTCCAAATACCATCGCACGCCAGAACCATGAATTCATCTTTGTCTGGATCTATTGTGGCGGTTTTGATATCTGGTAAAGCCGATATCATTTGCTCTTCGGGTGGTAGGTCCTTATTTTTTTTGTATGTGTGATCGCCAAGTGCTCTGGATAAATTAAGTCCACCATTTACTCTACCATCGGCAGTAACCTTACCACCAGCTTTTACAATACGCTCCATTTCTGGCAGATCTTCGGGCTTGTGATCAAGACTCAATTCAACCGCTTCCCCATTTCGACATAGAACACATCGAGAATCTCCTGCATTGGCTACGTATAGATCATTTCCCTTGAGAATGGCCACTACCGCTGTACAGCCACTGTCTGAGCCAGGCTGTTAAACAAATAATCAAGTAATTAAATTCCCATATCCTATAATTAAAGAGAGAGAGAGAGAGAGAGAGAGAGAGAGAAAAGGCTATATTTTTTAAAGACCTTTTCATTAATTTCCATAGAAGTGTCATCTTCATCCTCGTCCTCATATTCTTCTTCTTCGTCCTCCTCCTCTTCGTCATCTTCTTCATCGTCTTCATCCTCGTTGCTGTCATCATTTTCAACGTCTCCATCATCGCTAATATAATGGTAAATTGTATGAAAAATCATAATTTTCTTTGTAAAATAAATGCTACTGTATTAGTACGTCAAACAATTTAACACGGTTTAAGCGAATCTTTCGATTATTTACAATTAATAAGACAGTATTGGAAAAATCAATTTGTTCGTACCTTTCTGGCTGCCCATCGAAAGTCTCATCGTTTTCTTCATCGTCTTCATCATCATCCTCATCGGAATTATCTTGCTCCTTGTTCAATAAGCTTTCATAAAGATTTATCAAGTGATTTCTTCTTCGTCCGCTACTACTAATTTTTTCTTGTTGCTCGGCTTCGCCATTCTCTAATGGCGTGCATGAACTACTACATTCGTTATCACCTGCATTCTTACTGCTGTCCGCATCCTCGAAGCTCTTGGTTGACTTTTCCCCATTTATCTCTGCTTCGTTTGGTATTGATACCGAATCTACGACCTTACTGGGTGAAACATTATCATTGACATCTTCGGAGCTGTCTGGCATTTCTAATGATTTGGCAGGTTCTAAATCTAAAGAGGATCCAACCTGAGACGCACGAGGAACATCACCGTTGCTTGTAGTAGAATCTAATATTTGATCGGCTTCGCTACTACCAGCACTCTCGACAATTTTTCGGTTTGTTGTCGATGAGGATGATTCGCAAGGCTGACTCGAGCTACTCACATCTGTCTCATTTGTGTTCCATGATGACGACGATGTCGAGCAACCTGCACCGGACGAAGAACATGCTCCTTTATCTTTATTTCTTCGACTACGTAAATAAGGACTTGGGAAATGCGATCGACTAGCGCAATTTTCGTTTTTTACGTTCTTCAAATCGGGATTTGTAACCTCTGCTTGATATTTGGCTATTACTTGTTCCAATGGCATTGTTGCCTCCATGCAAAGATTATTAACATTTTCTTCAACATCTGTACAAACAACAACAACAACAACAACAACAATATAGGGATTACTAGGCAGGCTTATATTACTTAACATTTAGAAAAATGGAAGTAGCATTTATAGATGTAACGTTAAGATTAAGGTGATAAAGCTTTTCACGCAGAAGTTTCCAATTCAAATGGTTATATTTCTTTAAAGTTTGCGCGCTATTGGTAAGTAATTCAACAATTGAAAATGTTTTAGATTAGTAGATTGGTAGAAACATTTTATTATTATTTTAGTAATCTAACATGTTTAATCAATAATTAATATATATTTTTGACCATTTTTATTATATTTCTATTATCCAAATGTATATAATTAAAAATGCTCCGTTATCTCATTGAAATTTAGTTTCTCATTAGTTAGTTACTTGTCAATTTATTCGTACGCATAATATTATTCCAAAAAATTTATGTGAAAAGTGAAAATGTCTTAACTAATAATAATTTGCAATTCAGACTTTATGCAAGAAACTTCATTCGAGAATAAGAAATATAATAAATCCAAATACTTCAAATTATTTCTTAAGAAAAATAATTTAAAAACAACATTCGAGTCAGACTATTATTAAAAAAGGAAAATTTTATATTGTGTTAAGAGGAGGACTTAAAGTAATATCACAACAAGAGTAACAAGCCAATTAAATATGGTTAAGTTAAATAGAAATATACCAGAATCATCCTCTCCTTTTTCACAATTTGATAATTTAGTTCCAGCGATTTCTTTCAGAATATTAATGACCTCAGGCGTCGCTAACGTGGCATCAAATTCCAAAAAAGCATCGATCAACGCTTGTCTAATATCACCCTTTTTATATGCATCTGTGCTTTTAATAAAATTTGGTAAGTTTTCGGAGCAGTACGTAGCCACTTCGTGTCCTCCGTGGCCATCGTAAACAGCAAATAACGATATATCATTGTCAAAATCGATGCAGCAATTGTGGGAATCCTAATGAAACAACAAACAAATGATTTTCAAAATTTGGTATACGGTAGAGCTTGATAAATTTTCAATGTAAAGTAAAAATAAGCCTATAATATACCCAAAGGCAATAAAGTCGAAAATCGATCGTTTTCCTACTATGTACTCCGGGATTAATTATAAATTCTTTTAACCGCAACAAAAGATACGCATGTCTAACCATTATTAATGCTAATAATTTATAAGCGTAGCTTTATGCTTTGCTAATGCGTGACTGTAAAGACATGCCTGAACGCATTGACATTATTTATTGGGAATGGCGAGGCTTAAAGTGGGAATTAAAATTTTTACAGAGTCAAGTAACGTCTATGCACGTAGTCGGGAAAATTTTAGAAAAAGGCATTGCCATAGATAGATGACGACAGTCGGAAGAAGAAGTCATTAGCCGCGCGTAATAAGGAAATAAATGGTAAAGCAAAGGGAGCATCGAGCCATTATCATTTTCAAATATAAAAGCCAGTACCATCGCAGCGGTACAAACCAATTGCTTGAGAGATACAATTGGAGAGCAGCGCGAAGCGATGTACGGCGATGTAAACCGAAACCTAAACCGAAACGCCATGCACATGCACGAGTACGCGCGCGCGCGCGCGCATGAAGTCAAATGCATTAGTTTGCGAGGGCGCGCGCGCGCGTGAGAGAGAGGGAGAGTGCGGATTGCTAACGTATATACAGCCACCTAGGCTATGCATGGGAGAGTCTGATTTCGTGATAGGATGAGAAGAGAAGAGAAGAGAAGAGAAGAGGTGGGAAGAGATGGGAAGGGTATGGTAGGAAGGGGTAGAGACAGCGGGATGCGGTGAGGGAAAGGGAAGGGAAGGGCTGGACAGGGCACGGCATGAAAGGGACGAGATGGGACGGAGCGGAATAGAACGGGTTGTGATGAGATGCGAAGAGATGGGAAGAGAAATGAAGGAACGGGTAGAACAGGTAAGAAAAATGAGAAAGGAAAGACAGAGAAGAGAATCAGGAGCAGGGGTAGAAGCAGAAGCAGGAACAGGAGCAAGAGCAGGAGCAGCTGCAGCAGCATCAACAGCAACAGCAGCGGCAACGGTGGCGGCAGCAGCAACGACCGCGGTTGCGGCGGCGGCGGTGGCGGCAGCAGTGGCGGTGGCGGTGGCGGTGGCGGTGGCGGTGGCGGTGGCAGCGGCGGCGGTAACAGCAGCAGCAACAGCAGCAACCTCAAGAGCAGCGGTAGCGATGGGAAAAAGAAGGAAGGGAGAAAAAAGGGCCAACGGTCGAAGGGAGGCAGCGGTTTTACCGGCACATCGGCGCTCTCCCGGTCGCGGCCGAGGCTACGCACGCGGTGCCCGCACCTAGCCTAAAACCTACGTACCTCTTGGCTGACCCGCCAGCCCTGCATGGAGCTCGCGCCGAAGGCGATACTCCTGCCGATCTCATCGCTCGAGTCTTTCTCGGTGATGGGCTCGGACAAGTAGGCACCCATCCTCTCCTCTCGTTCTCCTTGCTGCGCTCGATAGCTGCGAGTGGAGGATGGTAGTCGCAATAGTACTGGTGGCAGTGACGGCGGTAGCGACGTCGACGACGACCGGCGGCGACTGTCTCTCGGCGCTCCTCTTCCCCGGCGGCTCGCTCTGCTCTCTTGCCGTCGACGGCGGTGGCGGTGGCGGTGGCGGTGGCGGCGGCAGCGGCGGCGGCGGTGGTGGCGGCGGTGGCGACGGCAGCGGCAGCGGCAGCTTTCTCCGGCTGCCCAGGCACCAGTGTAGTGGCTGCGACAACTCCTCTTCGTCGTGTTCACTCTCTGGGTCTCTCTAGATCTCGCAAGCCTTAAACTGTACGTGTCTCTTACGCCGGGAGTATCTATTCGCGCGCACAGCGGGGACGTGTGTTGAGCGGTGCGCTCCACACGCTCGCACTATAGCTCTCCTTCTCTCGCCTTCGATTCGAAGCGAGCCAGTGATAATACGCCTTCCCCGACTCCTTTACTTCTCTGGCCTCCCTCCCCTTGTCCCGCTCGGTCGCTCGCGCGCTCTATTTCGCTATCTCTTTCTCTCTCTCTCTCTCTCTCTCTCTCTCTCTCTGCAGCCGTCGACCGTCGCGTTCCCGCCCCAGGAACTTGGTTGTGCGCGCGGGATATGTACGAGAGCACTGGGAGGCCGTGGTTATCTGTATTGGCGGCGAATGTCTGCGTGTATTAGACTGCGTCCTGTGGACAGAGGAACGGCGAGACTGGGACTTGCGAGTCGGGAGTTCGAGAGAAAACGCGACGAGTGCATGTGCGAGCATGCAGCGCCCCGCCGCCTCTCCTCCCCCCACCATCAATTGTGTATTTACCCTCCCGCCGCCTCGTCCCCCTCCCAAAATTCTACTACCGCCACTACTAATATTACTAATTCTACTACCGTTAATACTACTGCTGCTGCTGCTACTACTTACTATCACTACTACTACTACTACTACTACTACTACTACTACTACTACTACTACTACTACTACTACTACTACTACTACTAATACTACTACTACTACTTCTATTACTATTACTACTATTACTACTACTACTACTTCTATTACTATTACTACTATTACTACTACTACTACTTCTATTACTACTACTACTACTACTACTACTACTACTACTACTACTACGGCTCCTATACTACACCATGACTACTTCTACCATTACCCTATAACTACTGTTACTATTATTTACCAACACTGCCGCTACCACTATTTACTACCATTATTACCGCTACCATTGCTACAAATATTACTATTACGACACTAGTATTATGGCACTACTAAGACTGTTAGTACTACTACTATTACTACTGTTGCTACTGCTGGGCTATAAAATTCAACTCCTAAACCTTGTGGTGGCGCGCTTACTCCCGTTCGTTTTTTATTCTTCACTCGCTCTGTTGTATTCCCGGTCTTTTTGAGTTTCGGATCGCGGGCTCAAGAATTTGATGGGAATAGAAGGGCGAAAGAAAATGTGGAAAAGTGTGCTGAAAAAGTCATTCGATCGAGATCTTCTCCTGGATAACTTTCGTCAGGAAAGATAGACGATGTCAACTTAGTAAAATCTTTATTGCAGACGTTCCTAAATTGTTCCTAAATAATTTTTGGGAGCAAGAATTTCACTTATTTCTTGTCCTCCACACATTAAAAATACGCAATATTTCTCGAGGAGATTAATTACTGTTACCAAATTATATTGTTCCCCCCTCCCCTCCTCTTTTTTTGTTGTTGTATCGATACATTGCTGTTGGACATGAATGATTTAATTACTCGAGATAATATCGTAGCAAGATTACATATATAATTTCGAGGTTAATTTCTCAACTTTTACACGACTTTTATATTTTACGTCTTGAAGGGTCCAATTATTATTTCCTTTCTTTGAATCTCTATTAACATTTAACTCATATTTTCATTTCGAACCAATGCTTATGTATTCGAATTATTATTCCAGTGTATTTGTCAAGTAAACATCTATACTTTACTATTGTTAGTAATTGGAATGTATTTGTTCTACCGATGGCGCAGTCATTTCAAAATTTGTTTAACAAATTTTCAAAGTACTTGATTACTATATTTACGTCGTCTATCGTTATTTTTCCCGGAATCTACTTGATTTATAACGTTACAAATTGACATTGTGAAGTCAATGATTTTATCACTATATAAATTGCTAGTTTAGCCCTTATTTATAAACCTCTGATTTTGAGAATAATAATTTATGATTAAAGTCGCTATATTGGATAGTCCCAACGCAAGCACCACGATTAACGTGATTTATCTAAGCGGATTGTCAACATGTAATAATTGTTCTCTCTCCGCGTGCATTATTTTTCCACTTTCTAATTACGCTAGTACCGCTTTGTTTTTCTGCACCGTAGAACATGCATTGACAATCCTACGTACGTGATTGAATGCTTGCGAGTGAATTTTTTTGGAGCGCTAGTTTCTCAATCTTATTTTCTATTCATCATAATAGCCGTCCTCTTCGTCGTCATCGTCGTCATCGTCGTCTTCGTCGTCTTCGTCGTCTTCGTCGTCTTCGTCGTCTTCGTCGTCTTAGTCGTCTCCTCCCTCCCTCCCACCCTCCCTATCATTCTAGTTACCCTTTTATGGCCCGGTCGTTTGCAACTATCACCTAATATTATAGATAAATTAATGGTAAATTTATTAACATACGCGAGGCTTCTAAGCCCTACATACCAGGTTGCTTCCCAATTATGGCTTTTCTATTTATACGACCGGAAAATCCGGTTAAACAAAAAGTGGCGATTAATTTACTGCGCGAGAAGCCGCGAATGGAAACGCAGAGTAATAAAACTTGGCAATTGGCGTACATGGCGCGCTATTACACCATCGTGCACATAAAGCGTGTGTGAATCGGTGAAGTTGCCTGCGAGAATTTCGAACGCAGTAAGAAGAAAGCATGAAATGTGATGCGCACTCGCGCCATCTACGTGGCTCTGCTGTTAAACTCGTGGTAGAAAGGAGCGTTGATATAGATTAAAAATTTTTTCCGCCAGACTAACACGGCTAACTCTCAACGATTATATAGAGTATCTTCGTTGCATACATAGCGCCCTAATTCTTCTTTTTCTTTCTTTCTTTCTTGGTTTTTTTCCTTTGGTCAATTTTACAGATATAGTTTTTCAGGCGGCTGATTTATTATCGCATTTAGACAAAGTTTTTAAATTTATTTTCTAACTGTATTTTAGCGCCATCTTACGACGATTTTCTGAGAATTTTAAAAAACTACCCACCGTACATGTTGACCTACGTGACATTGTATCCTTGATTGACAACTATTTCACTCGACATTACTTATAATAATTTTGTCAGTCAAAATGTTGCAACAATCGCTTGCTATTATTAGTGAATAAACGTCAATAAAAGTTACAGGAATTATTTTAATTTTATATATATATATATATATATATATATATATATATATATATATATAACTTACTTATCTTTTCTCTATATAAAACACAATTATAAAATAGGAATGTTGATTTTTCATATGAGACAATAAATTGACAATTAAGATTTTAGCAGTTAATTAAAAAAAAAAAAAAAAATAAATAAATAAATAAAAATAAAACAACGCATACATACACATCAATTATTCAGCTGTGAAATTAAAATGTATTTCATTCAGTTATATTATGAATAATAAGAAAGTTAATTAAAGTCATACAAATGTAGTTTTACAATGTTAGTTAAGATCTAATACAATTGCATAATAATTTCCGAATCGTTAAAGTTTCGTAGTGGAGTAAAAACAATTGAGTATATTATCGTAAATTAATTATAAAATTAAAATGGCAGTGCAAATCATAGATATTATTATTAAATAGTACAAAATAAAGTCTTACGCTATATTAAAATAAAATTAAACGTTATGTTAAATAATATTATATAAAATATGCTGTCGATAAATCAGACCAACAATTATCATAGAATTTCCGAATAATGAAAATCATTGTAAAGGTGAGATTAGAATAATAACAAGCATAAGCTAACCAGCCAATTAAGAAAATATTATAATCAGAAAATGTATAGTTTTACTTTACAAACGTAGTATACTAGTTATTATCGTGTATAGAAAATTCAAATTCAAGGAATAAAGTTTAATATAAATAAATATTAGTAATTTTATAAAATGTTAATGTATAAAATGTGATATATCGATTAATAAGAGTAATTGTTTCGTAAAAGCATAGAAAGCAATGCTTTAATCTAAAATAAGAAATTATAGTACTGTATGGTGAATGTCATTACAAAACGTCGAAGAATATAATTTTAGTATGGCATTAACATGGTGTGAGTACAGCCATAACACGTGTTTTTTTGTTACAGGATGATTGAATAAAATTTAATCAACATAGTAATGATATGTCTTTTACGATAAAGAAGACAGATTTTACATTTGAAAAATAAAAACGTAACAGTCATTATATAATATATACAATATATTATAATTTGAAAAGAAAGGTAATTGGAATTGGTGTTAATTATTGTTAATTATTCGGTATTAAAAATGTTAGTGGAATATCGATTGTATCGTTATAAGCTTAGTAACATTAACGTTGAATAATAAAACGTATTACGAATCAAATTTTTCTTTCAGTATTTAAACGAGATGTTTAGCTTAATTATTGTATTAATTATATATAATATCAGTAAGTGAGACTAAACTTAGAATTATTATTGTTTACTTTAGGCTTTGCCTAAATATTTGTCTTGAGAGGTCTTTGCGAGCCTCAAAATACGGTAGAAATTTGTTAAATTTGTGTTGCATTTACTTATTTAAGATTATATAATTAATGCTACCATATAATATAAAAATTATGATATCTTCTTTATAATTTCATTATAATTATAATAATGTAATCTTATATCCTTTACATTTATTTAATATATTTTTTTTTTTACAATTTTCTCATATTTATGGTATCTTTTCTAAATTTATTTTATATATAAATCTTATAGCTTTCATATAACGTTATCAGGGAAATTTTCCGATGCAGGAAGCTTTCGATGACTAGATGAACATTTACATTTGTTCTTAATAAAATAATCTAAGGGATACGATATCAGTGTTGTGCTATCCGGTTGTAAAAAAAAAAAAAAAAAAAAAA